GATGAGAATGGATTCAGAAATTTCCACTACACCACTCTCGTCGAGCAGCAGTCGCCCAGCTCCAGTAGATGCCTTTAGCCGCATAACACGACTAATCTAAGCAACTGGCAGTAATCTATGCAATCCATGCTAATCTGAGCTAGTCCTCCAAATCCGAGCAATGACTCCAATTCTATGCCAATTGGCTATGCCATGCAACCTGGTTTTTGCGAGCTCAAATTTAGATGTTATCGACAAAAAAAGATAAATCGCAGTGCGAATATACGATGAGACCATAGTTGCTAGTCACAGTGTGGCTAGCACACCATTTCACACTGCACACTGTCACAGTGTGTTACACTGTGACTGTCACACTAGTCACCAACACGATAAGTAGTTTAGCATGAAGCATTTAGTGAAGAAGTCATTACAAGTGTCGTACATCATGGCAGTTAAATCTCGGCTTGCCTTTGCTTTTTTCTTCATGGGGAAGTCTTCAGCCCGCTTGTGAGTCATATCGTTATCCTTTCGTGCCGCCTAGCCAGAATGAATATCCCGTAGAATCCTAGATGAAATAGAACGTTAGATGAGTCAGAGACGAACAGCAGTTGGCTCGAAGGGGGAAATCTTACTTTGCGTCGTTTAGAGACACCACTACCATCATCAGTGATGATTCATCACCAGGCGAGAGATCAATGTGTGACCGTGAAGATCGAAAGGCGGGCCTATAAGCGGTAAAGGTTCCTATTCTACATCCAAAGAATGATATGCGAGGTCGGATGATAGAAAAGTCATGCTTACACTGTTATCCTGAGATCACTGGTCGCATTTGTACTCTGGGAGGCTTGCAAAGATGGACTGAAATATAAAGTTCATCACGTCCGCCCGGCATTATCAGCAATAATGACTGACCTACATCTTCTCGACACTACGCGTGGCATTCTTGCGACCGGGGACTCCCTCGGATGCACTCGGTATGCCAATGGCGTTCCCGAGGCAGACAGTGGACGGAACAGAATGAGTAGATGATCCATCTAGATTGCGGGACTAACACGGAGCTAGTCAAAAAAATATACTCATCGTGATTCACTACCCCGTTAGTGTCATTTTGCCCTAGGCTTCGTCGGTGCATCATTCCAGAGTTCAACTTCTTAGTTTTCTCCAACGCAATATCCTAAGGCACAAGATGGACGTCCCTGTGGATCACAGATCGTTAGACCTACACTACTGTCATCCAGATCCTCCATTATCGCACTTGTTGCACTGTCTGAATGTCTGAAATATGACAAGTAAAAGCCGTTAGAATCATTACTATCATTTTTTTATCTACAGAACGGGGCGAGGTCTACCGAGAGTCACATCCGCAAGGCAAACAATATTCCATAATATTCAGTACGGAGAATGATGTATGCAAAATAATTTAGGAAAATATAGCAGAAATTCCGATCTTGGAGTTCGAACCGAAAATATCTTCTTTGTTGCAGGAGAGGACCCCAATTCGTCACATTCGGTGGTTGATTCGACAATACTGTACAAATTATAAAGTAGCGGAACCGAACACAGGAATCGCTTGGCCATATATGACCTCCGTCACTCTATGTCGTACAGTTTATGATGCAAGTCTAGTAAGATATTATCTTAGAGATAGCTACATGATCGACACCTTAAATGGATGTTCTTGGCCTTGTAAGGAATTGAGAGCCAACGTTGTCGCATAACTCTCCGCCGGTGCTGAGGAACCCCTCGCCGACATGCGATGACCAATAATACGACACTAAGATCTTGAGCCAAGATGGCTACGGAACCTCAATACTAGAGACTTACTACGAGAAGCGTAGGTTCTAAGAACCATACGATTCGCTATATAAGGAAAATCGCACGCCCAATAATACTAGTAGTAGTTCAAGTATACACCCAGATTCTGTGAACTAAAGAGTAGGGGAGCGTGGACGGAACTTGACCGTCAATGTCGACGATTGCTGAACCTCGGTGTCTCGAATATCATATCCGTGGGTGTTCTGATACAGTTCAAGTATACACCCAGATTCTGTGAACTAAAGAATTGGGGAGCGTTGACAGAACTTGACCGTCAATGTCAACGATTGCTGAACTTCGGTGTCTCGAATATCATATCTATGGTTATTCTGATACAGTTCAAGTATACACCCAGGTTCTGTGAACTATAGAGTGGAGGAGCGTGGAGGGAATTTGACCGTCAATGTCAGCGATTGCTGAACTTCGATGTCTCGAATATCATATCCGTGGCTGTTCTGATACAGTTCAAGCATACACCCAGATTCTGTGAACTGAAGAATGGGGGAGCGTGGACAGAGTTTGACCGTCAATGTCGACGATTGCTGAACCTCGGTGTCTCGAATATCATATCCGTGGGTGTTCTGATACAGTTCAAGTATACACCCAGATTCTGTGAACTAAAAAATTGGGGAGCGTGGACAGAACTTGACCGTCAATGTCAACGATTGCTGAACTTCGGTGTCTCGAATATCATATCTATGGCTATTCTGCTACAGTCCAAGTATACACCCAGGTTCTGTGAACTATAGAGTGGGGGAGCGTGGAGGGAATTTGACCGTCGATGTCAATGATTGCTGAACTTTGGTGTCTCGAATATCATATCTGTCGCTGTTCTGATACAGTTCAAGTATACACTCAGATGCTGTGAGCTAAAGAATGGGGGAGCGTGGACGGAATTTGACCGTCAATGTCAGCGAATGCTGAACTTTGGTGTCTCGAATATCATATCCGTGGCTGTTCTGATACAGTTCAAGTATACACCCAGATTCTGTGAACTATAGAGTGGGGGAGCATGGGCGGGATTTGACCGTCAATGTCAGCGATTGCTGAATCTCGGTGTCTCGAATATCATATCCGTGGCTATTCTGATACAGTTCTAGCATACACCCAGATTCTGTGAACTAAAGAATGGGGGAGCGTGGACGGAATTTGACCGTCAATGTCAACGATTGCTGAATTTTGGTGTCTCGAATATCATATCCGTTGCTGTTCTGATACAGTTCAAGTATACACCCAGGTTCTGTGAACTATAGAGTGGGGGAGCATGGGCGGGATTTGACCGTCAATGTCAACGATTGCTGAATTTTGGTGTCTCGAATATCATATCCGTTGCTGTTCTGATACAGTTCAAGTATACACCCAGGTTCTGTGAACTATAGAGTGGGGGAGCATGGGCGGGATTTGACCGTCAATGTCAACGATTGCTGAACTTCGGTGTCTCGAATATCATATCCGTGGCTATTCTGATATAGTTCTAGCATACACCCAGATTCTGTGAACTATAGAGTGGGGGAGCATGGGCGGGATTTGACCGTCAATGTCAACGATTGCTGAACTTCGGTGTCTCGAATATCATATCTATGGCTATTCTGATACAGTTCAAGCATACACCCATATTCAGTGAGCTATAGGATGGGGGGGGCGTGGACGGAATTTGACCGTCAATGTCAACGATTGCTGAACTTTGGTGTCTCGAATATCATATCCGTGGCTGTTCTGATACAGTTCAAGTATACACCCAGGTTCTGTGAACTATAGAGTGGGGGAGCGTGGACGGAATTTGACCTTCAATGTCAGCGATTGCTGAACTTCGGTGTCTCGAATATCATATCCGTGGCTATTCTGATACAGTTCAAGCATACACCCAGATTCTGTGAACTAAAGAATGGGGGAGCGTGGACGGAATTTGACCGTCAATGTCAGCGATTGTTGAACTTCGGTGTCTCGAATATCATATCCGTGGGTGTTCTGATACAGTTCAAGTATACACCCAGATTCTGTGAACCTAAGAATTGGGGAGCGTGGACGGAACTTGACCGTCAATGTCAGCGATTGCTGAACTTTGGTGTCTCGAATATCATATCCCTGGCTGTTCTGATACAGTTCAAGTATACACCCAGGTTCTGTGAACTATAGAGTGGGGAAGCATGGGCGGGATTTGACCGTCATTGTCAACGATTGCTGAACTTCGGTGTCTCGAATATCATATCCGTGGCTATTCTGATACAGTTCTAGCATACACCCAGATTCTGTGAACTAAAGAATAGGGGAGCGTGGACGGAATTTGACCGTCAATGTCAGCGAATGCTGAACTTTGGTGCCTCGAATATCATATCCGTGGCTGTTCTGATACAGTTCTAGCATACACCCAGATTCTGTGAACTAAAGAATAGGGGAGCGTGGACGGAATTTGACCGTCAATGTCAACGATTGCTGAACTTTGGTGTCTCGAATATCATATCCGTGGCTATTCTGATACAGTTCAAGTATACACCCAGATTCTGTGAACTATAGAGTGGGGGAGCATGGGCGGGATTTGACCGACAATGTCAACGATTGCTGAACTTCGGTGTCTCGAATATCATATCCGTGGCTATTCTGATACAGTTCTAGCAAACACCCAGATTCTGTGAGCTAAAGAATGGGGGAGCGTGGACGAAAGAATGGGAAATAACTGGGACGAATTATCTAGTATCTGACGACAGGATTAGATGCTCTATATGGGAAGACGTTTCGGCACCATATGCTCATCATTGGATTCTGCTGTGTGCGACAGATCCACGATTGGACAAGCGCGGACATCCATGACCTTCTAAAAACATTGAAAGTCTCAATTCGAACCGATCTATCCAGGTGGTGAACTAGTAGGACCAGAACTCTCATATTCCTTCTCATGCTACCATAGTTGAAGCAGTTTCTGTCCTAGTAGCTGGTTTCCTAGCAATAGTTCCACCAGAACTTCTATCATTCAGTTGTTTCCCAGAACACACGGGTTACTGCATTGATCTTCCCGAACCACTAGATGCCACTTGATCGCGCTTCAGTATCAGACTGTAAGCCAATATCTCTCTATCGGATAGATGTACTCTGAACACCAGATTTATGATGACCCATAACTTGATAATCTCGAACGGGAATCTTCGACTTCAGATAGGTCGATTCGACTGTCGAATTCCGGCAAGCGGCGCTGTCCCAATACGACGATATTACCCGTTTGACGATGACAAGGACTGGAATAACTGTAGATCATTCTCCATTGCCGCACAAGGTAAGAGACAACGTTCATACAGGAAGCTGGCAAGCCGGCAGGTCTTCTTGAAGATAAACCAGAAGTGATCCGGACGGTAATGCGAGACATCTTCCGGCTTATATTTAGAAAAGATACCTAAAAGACAGCATATCACAGACTATGCAACACTCATCTGAGCGAATGAACTGTCCGCCGATATTTCCAGAAGATTCGACCAATAACTCACCAAGACGAGTAGAGAAATCGTGCACGATTTTAGGCTTTTCAATTCTATGATCATCGAAGTCTCCCAAATCATCATTGTAAGCCTTAATCGCAGCGAGAATCATATCAATTCTCGATGACTGCCATTCCCCATCTTCTTCCCATTCGCATGGGTCGAAGAATGCCATGAAACCATCACGGCCTAGGATGTTAGGGACGCTGAAAAATGGATCAACACTAAATCCTAGCTCGTGATCCTCTAACCTACGCTTTATCGATCGCTGTCTTTACGGTATTTGGCATTCCTTTAGCCTTCATAATGGGTTCGCAGGCTTTCACGAGTCTCCTAGCGCCAATCAGGGCGCAATGACTACAGGTAGACAGCTCGACGGAGAGCTTCTCAAGGGATCCAAGTTCCGCCAGAGCTGAGGCTTCCTTCCGATCAGGTATACTACGAAGAATCACAAGACTCCGAGATATGGCCCGGTCCTCGTCGACCGTTCCAGCCCTGCTCTCATCGGGATCGAACCTATAACCATATATTGAAGCCCGATGGCTGGAATATTCTCACTTGCTCATCTGAAGTTCGGCTAGCTCATTCTGGATGCGACACCAGTTTTGCACCATCCAACACAACGTGCGAAATATCCCTCTTGCTGATGGTGTGGCAGGGATACATATTCCCTTATCAAGGCTCACTTTCTCGATCATGTTAGAAATCTCGATCCATTTGGCCACTTCCGGTATAATAGCGAGCTTCTCCAGTAGCCTTTGATGCCCCTCTGCAAGGCAGCAAATGATTTTCGTGCCATCGAATGACCCAAGCAAATTATCGGCCTTAGTCTAAGGCCGAACCTTACGGCGCGTCTCCAGATTCTGGAGTCCAGAACACTTAGAATGGAATTCTCAGCACGGGCGTTGACCTCATCCTAGGTGGATCAAGGTTTATCCCATACAATGCGGGTGTCCTTATATTATTGTTGGTGCTTCTTACTGAGGAGTCCTCAGAAATAGTCAACTGTGCTCGCTCATTGGTCCACTCCATCCACTCAATCCTACAAATTACTTAACACTGTGGACGGCCTGTTATCTGATATCATTCAGTCATTTAGTTAGATGGGAGTAGTGGGTAGTGGAGTGAAAGCATCGCACGTTGCGACATAAATCGTGTTGGACCCGAAAGTTCCAACCGCGAAATTGATTTTCGCAAAATTTCGGAAATTCTGCGGATAATCATTCCCAAAACTGCAACAGTGGATGCTTCGCTCCGCACAAGTAGTGGTAGCGAGGTTACATGATTCTTTAACCAGCCTCAGTGAGTCAGCTCGATACTCTCTGGCTGGCGACCCTCGCTTGACTACTCGTGCCTCCCAAACTAACTTCAACTGGATGCGGGTGGGCGGGTTCAGGAAGGTTTCCATTAACTAAATGATAACTGAATGCTTATCCATCCAAAACCCCTAACCACAACACAACCCATTCGCAGCGAGTGATTCGCTCGCTTGTTGACCTAGCCCAATAAATTGATCTTGAAGCAATTGCGAATCAGTTGGTGACCGCTCTCTCTCCATGCACTGTGCATAGAGCGTCTATGATAGAAGTAAAATGAGGGCACTATCCACAAAGCTGAGCAGGGGGGACACAGTTCAACCATAACAGTCGAACACACCTGGCGAACCACTTATTTGCCTGCCTAACACACAAATTACCAGCTAAGAAAGCAGCTTGGGCCAATGACCACAACGTCTGCTGCTAGCATGCACAGTGCTCGTGAGAAGCCATACAGGTGTTCGCCTGATAGTCCGTTCGCGGTCAATTTATTCGACTTTTTCATCAGAAGGATCCCTCTAGCTCGACAACCTCTAGAATAGAAGCCGATCAGATGACATCAACCCATGGTGAACACCCCTCGACAACGCAGAGAGAAAATCCCCTCGATGGTTGGCATGGCGAGGACATCATCAGCTTAGTCATGGCAAGACTTGGACCTGGCATTGCGGCCACGTTGCCGTTAATCTTCAAGATCAACGGTCCAGTTTCATGGCATGATATTGAATCGGAGCGTAGTAAGAGATAACAACACTTCCGGACAGACTCGTTAAGAAATGGGTGTGAAGTCGAACTCGAAGAGTGAATCAACAAGTGAGAGACTTATTAGACAGGAACCTTTCCAGTGAACTACAATCTATCTAAGGTTCAGCCATAATACCGTTTTTGGAAGCTGTGCAGTCCCCAAGGATATCATCGCTCATCTGCGTGGAGAATTGGAGATCCATTTAGAGTCATTTTCTCAGTTTCTTAACGCCACTCATCAAGTGCATCCGAGCTCAGGACGAGCTGTTAGTCCTCCACCACGGTCTCATCTGCCATCAGATGAACATTTCCATGAAGACAAAGATAGAATATAGGCCTCTTGCTGAGGAGTCTGTTATACTGCACTCGGAATGAATCACGGGCTCGGAGGTCGCCGTGACCACTATGAGTATTAACGTATCTACAGCCATTCTACCATTCGAGCCCTAGCCTTCTCCACGAAGCAGAATGGCAGGAACTAGACAGTCCAGTTACTCAGCATCAGGCACAACGGTGACTTTATGGCAGCAGACCGGGGGACGAGGCACGTGTGACAATGGAGTTTCACGACCCGTTTCACGTCACCGTGACGTCGTCACGTGTATCACGTGAAGTGGCGTGATACTTCATATAGTACTCTTCCGAGGGCCTGTTAGTAACACCTCAAACAATGGGCAGGATGTTCCAATCCAGGAATACACTCCTCCCATTGTTCTCCAGCCAGAGTTGGTGGGACATACATTCCAACTATCTGCATAACCCGCTTTCTGGTGATGAAAATACTCACTCCCACCATATCGCTTCCCTTATGTAGTCTGTCAGAATTCCAGACAATCGGATTGATTGCGTAGCCAGATTTATCCCATTATTACACCACTCTACATCTTGATCCTCCCTGCCGCCTTCCACATATCCATTTATGTGGGATGTCCGGTCGGACCGGACCGGTCCCGTTCCCTCAACCAAGTCTCTGTGAGGATTATCACATCTACCCCTCTTTTGAACCACTTCTGCGCCACATATCTCACTTCCACCAGGTGGGCTTCCAACGACCGAACATTATAATTCACTACCCGCACCACATTGTTTGTTGGCCCTGAACTCGCACGGCTCCGCAATGGTGCCGCGAAGTTATTCCCTTTTGGCGACCACGTTGAAGATGCTTCTTCGGTGTCGGCAGTTGCGCCACGAGCCGGCATAGGAATAAAGCAACTAAATTCCATCCAACCGGAACAGTCTAGGTTCCGTCGAGGTATGAGCTCTGAACAACAAGCATGTGCCTTCGCGCAGTACTTAGAGGATGAAGTGCAGAAGGATCGCGCAGTGACAGCGGTATTTCTTGACGCCACATCGGCATACGATTATGTAAGGCATGATGTGTTATTGGCAAGATTGGGATCTCTCTTCATGCCCCCCCATATGTGGCGGCGAATCCGGAACTTTATCAATAACCGTATCGTTCATACATTATGGGGTCAGACGCGGTCTCGCTCTAGAGTTATGCGTCGAGATGTTCCTCAGGACTGTTCTATAAGCCCTATTCTGTGGTTGGCATACATATCCCCTCTCATCTCATATCTCTGGGACGGAATCGTCGACGATGTTTGTAATACAAACTTTGTATAACAATGTCTGTTAGAGTAAAAGTCTTTTACTAAAAGATCTTGATTGTAAGCTCTACTTGTTACAGGAAATTAGATGGTGCTAATGATTTCTTCTCCTCATCGTCGATAAAACTGAACGCAACAAAATCTCAGATTTTGTTGCGTTCAGTTTTAAATCTGCTCTGGTTGTTTTTTCGACGAACTTCAACGCTCGAGAGAAGACCATATAGCTATGTATTGCGGGTGAAGAGGTTCCGAGGAGCTCGAATCAGCGCATGCTGGGATTGTACGTAGATGGGGGACTAATATATGCTAGAAGCTGTGACATGTGGAGAAGTAGAGTGTTTGCTCGTATCCGTATACTTCATCATGTGAGTAACAGATCCTGGGGTACCAGTTTTAGAAGCACTCGGCAAGTGACTGATCAGCTTATCATGTCCAGTGCACTCTATGCCATTCCCGGGCTTTATGGTGCACAGCAAAGACATCAATTTTGAGTGGAACGGCGAAGAAGAAGAGAAAAAATACTTGGATGGAGAGAATTATCTGCTGAGTTCTCACCGCAAGCTCTCTATCCTCTTATATCTCCCTTACCACACAGGCTTGCACCTTGGCTTTCCCTCCCGATCATTTTTAACACTTCGTCTTGTAACTTACTAGTTGATGGTGGTGCCGCACCACTGGTGCGATTTGGTTTGGAGATGAAGCAGAACCGCGTTGGTCGGCGTCTGTTCCAGCGGGTATGGTTGCTTCATCTTATACTGGCAGTATAATACTGCTGAGATACGTCACGTATCCACGTATCATACGTGGATTAGCATGTTGTATGGAGTCTTTTGAAGGGCCGCACACATTAATCCAAGCAGCTTCAGGTAATCCAAGCAATATCCCGTAATCCAAGCAAATGCCCTTAATCCAAGCTATATTGCGCATGCCATAATGTGCTTGGACTAGCGACAAGTACATAAAGGCAAGCGAGCGAAGCGAGCTTGCCGAGGAAATTTTTTTGTGTCTTCTCTGTTTGCGTCTCTGTTTAGCAATGTTTTAGCTTTTCCTGCGACGTCAGTCGAGTACTTGACTCATTCAATAGACCGAAAACGACTTTCCCAACTCAATGATCTTGACGACTCGTACATTGTTTCACGTATATATATGCACTAACTTGTGATGACATCGTTAGCCTTTTGGAGAGCAATCACATCAATGCTATCTGCTCGTCTGCTTGCGCTGATGATCTCAGAGCATTGCGAGATTTCTAGCGAACCTATCGCGATTCGGGCCGAAACGTCATGACAAACCATAGTATGGCAAATGAAGCATTACTCACAAAAACATGCATATGTGCGTGTATTCTGCACGTGGCCGTATCTTTAGCTTCATTTGGGAAGTTTGTTGATCGTAAAGCTTTGAGGATGTCATGCTGGGGCATTTCTGTTCGAAATCCCTACGCGAGGCTGGTATTTTGCAAAGTTGGCAAGGGTAGGATGGTTGCCTGAGGCTCAAGCCGCTAGTACAAACTCGATAACTAACACGTCGAGAAACATTGGGCGGTTGTATCGCGCATCCTTTACTTATATTGCTTGATTCCTGACCCTTGTTGTGCGGACAGGGAAGACGTCATAAACGTGATGGAGAAAACTACGTTAAGAAAGGGCCATACAATGGTAACTCTTCTCATGTGATCAACAGAGTAACCAGACAAGCAAACCTACTGCGCAAGTCTATCACCGAGCGTTACAACTATGGGAGAGATGATAGAAGCGATGTTAAGTCTTCCCTAGGTTCTCATCTATCAGTAACCTCTGAGCATGTGCTATAGCGAGAGGTTCGACCTAGGGAACCCCGTTCTAGTGCTCAGCAATCCTGCGCTGATAAAATAGCGCGCGCCCGTAAAATAGGTAAAGAGCGCAAGATCATTAGCTCATGTCAAACATTCAAATAATTCAGTGAGTTGAGCAGCTTACTACTCCTTCTGATGGTTGGACTCTCAAGATATCTTCCGTTCGCGTTGTGTTATAGTTCATAATACGTAAGGCTTCTAAAAGCTGCACACTTTGACGACTCCACAGTAAGGCTCTCAGTAATCGTTATGTTATTTGCTGCAATGAGTATTCGTCGAATACTATTCGAGTGAAACTATTATAACACTGCGTAATATATCCAATTGCTATTTCATTCACATATTTCTACTTTTCGGACTCCGAAATTCGGAGTGTAGTATATCCGTTACACAGGGATATTCAAACCTAATCAAACTAGGCGACTATATGTTATTGTAAGGTGTTGTATGGTGTTGTTTGCTGGAGGCATCACTCGTACAGGCGTTGTTTGTATGTTCGTTTCATGACGCTGAAGCGTCCAATGAGGAGACGCAATGCGGCGTCTATCACTAGTCCACACGACTAGTGATGCCAGACAAGACTGTGATAAGTGTCGTGAGCATCTCCAATGGAGATTCTCCATGACCATCGTCACCTGGATAAGGAGAAAGGAGAGGCGGTGGTAATAACTGATTAATGATGACTGTAGTGGTGGGGTGATGTGCTAGTTAGTCAATGCACTTCTATATCTTGGAGCTCGTGACAGGGTAGAAAACCATTGTGAGTGAACCCTTGGAAATTCACGCTGTTTCCTATATCTTTAACCCTTGAGTTAGGGGCCTTGACCGTGTGTATATTTTGATATTCATTCGCTGCGTGTCCAACCCCTATAGAGTGGAACATGTGCCATGCGTCTAACTTGCCTAGAGTAGAACATGTGCCATGCGTCTAACTTCCGTCTTGAGTGGAACATGTGTCATGCGTCTAACTCCCGTCTTGAGTGGAACATGTGCATGCGTCTAACTTGCCTAGAGTGGAACATGTGCCATGCGTCTAACTCCCGTCTTGAGTGGAACATGTGCCATGTGTCTAACTTGCCTAGAGTGGAACATGTGACATGAGTCTAACTTGTCTAGAGTGGAACATCTGCCATGCGTCTAACTTGCCTAGAGTGGAACATGTGCTATGTGTCTAACTTGCCTAGAGTGGAACATGGGCCATGCGTCTAACACCCGTCTTGAGTGGAACATGTGCCATGTGTCTAACTTGCCTAGAGTGGAACATGTGCCATGCGTCTAACTTGCCTAGAGTGGAACATGGGCCATGCGTCTAACACCCGTCTTGAGTGGAACATGTGCCATGTGTCTAACTTGCCTAGAGTGGAACATGTGCCATGCGTCTAACTTGCCTAGAGTGGAACATGTGCCATGCGTCTAACACCCGTCTTGAGTGGAACATGTGCCAAGCGTGTGGAAGTGTGTCTAAGTCGTAGTTACGGTTGTCGGTAGTTCTGAGCGTTGACGTTGTCGTGGTTGTAACAACTGGGTGTAGGAGTTCAGGAGTTGTAGGTGGTATTGCAAGCTTGACCGCCTGAGGTGGTATTGTAGGAGGGTGCAGAGGGCTAGCCTCACATGAGTAGACACGTTAGAGCACGGCAAACCCACTACTAAAGAACACTCTTCAATTGGGTGGTGTGGCTATATATAATTTAGTTTCGTATCATTTCATTTGTTCAACAATTTTTGTTGAATAACATCGATGGGGAACAAGCGAGCCGAGAGGCGCAAGCGCAAGAACGCTCGACATGTAGTGTCATAAATTCTGTCTGAGTTTTCTAATGACATGCTCCTTTCAGGCTCAAGAACAAGCTGACGACAAGGAAGAGTTACGTGCTAAGCTTTTGACGTAAGCTTCTTAGTTGACGCTCAACATGGGGTGTTACACAGGCATGTGTTTCTCAGATATGCTCAACCCTCAACGCGGTCGGATCTCGAGAATAGCGAGCAGGTCGAGGACGCGAGTTTTGTGGAGGTACAAGCCATGTCCTAACTCTACTTATTGGAGTCTGTGGGATAGTAGTTTTTTCATATATCCTTTTCCTCAGGCTGTTCTAGTGGAGGACGACAAGAACAATGTTCTGATTGCGAGATTGAAGGCTGAAGTCGGTGTTTATCAATTCACCTGTGCTTGATCAATATATATCACTACCAGGTCACTTCCGCAAAAGCACGGGCTGCTGATGCTGAAGCTGAAATACAGAGGTGTGCAATCATTATCGGTCTTCGGATTCATTTCCGGATTACGCCCGACGCATAAATAGGCGGCAGGTGATGGACTTGTATCATGGGAACCGTGCTGATCTCGCACACCCGCATGGGAGATCATACCTGCCAGATACAGCGTCTCCTGGACACAGCGGCTACCCGGGCTGGAACTAATGTGCAGCGTATAAATAACTACTATGAACTCGAGGCAGAGTTATCGCCATTTAGAGTAACAGATGCAGTAATCGAGTGCATCCGAGAAGGTCGCGAAGTTGCAGCGGAATTCCTGTATTACGGGGGATTCTGGAGCGATTCTCATTGGGCTGTCCTTTATGGGGGAGTCAGTAAGTTCCACAAACGTTGGCTCTTGTTCGCTTAGCTTCGGGTCTTTCTACAGGTATGCTTTTCTCTCTCCTGTGGTTTATACAGTCGATGGAGGAGGGGTTTCCGCTGTATATGGATGTTCAGCACAAAATCTTGCGAGACGGACTCAAAGTAGCCTGGATAGGGTCTACTCGTATTTGGTGAGTTCCGGGTGTGCTTATGAACCATCACCTATTATCCGGCTCTGCATTCCTCAAGGTACGATCCGGTAAAAAGAGAATTTAGGCATACTTTCGTGCCTTTTCTTTCTGCAATTCTCGATGAAGAATGTACCGAGGTCTACGATTTCATGCTGAAACGCCTGGACCTGCTTGTCCGTGCACTGACACTGGGACAGAAAGATCTTCGCGATGTCGTCAACTTCTGCGTTCATGATGCACATCAAGCTGCACTGGGGGCTTGCATTTCCAACTTGCCTGGAGTTCGCAACGGTAAGCTCAAAATCGCTGTTCTGATGTTCAATTATTGCTCACTATCTCAGGCAGATGTTACTACCACTTGTCAAAGAACATCAAAAATAACAAGTCTAAACTCGG